TATTTGTGTAGCTTCTATGGTTTCTGTTGCTACTGATTTCTAGTTTTATTCTATCATGGTCTCATAAGATACAGGAAATAATTTCTTTTATTTTTATTTTTTTGGGTACATGTCCATTAAGGCTTGCTTTGTGGCCTATAATGTGATTTATTTTAGAGATGTTTTGGTGGGCTATGAGAAGAGTGTGAATTGTATTCTGTATCGGTTAGACGGAATGTTATCTATAGATGACTGAATCCTACTGCTGGTATAGTATAGCTGTGAAGTTTTGTTGCTGATTTTTAATTTTTAAAAATTTATTTATTTATTCATTTTTGACAGGGTCTCCTTGGCCCCAGCCCACCTGGAGCTTGCTATGTAGACCAGGCTGGCTTTGGCCTGCCTCTGCGTCCCAAGCGCTAGGATTAAAGTCTTGTGCTACCATGCCGGTGTTTATTTTTATTTCATGTGTATGAGTGTTATGCCTGCATGTTCGTAAGTGCACCTGCATTGTGCAGTACCCCTGGAGGACAGAAAAGCATGTTGGATCCCCTGGAACTGGAGTTACGAACTGTTGTTAGCCACCATATGGGTGCTGGGATTCAAACCCAGGTTTTCTACAAAAGCAGACAGTGCTTTTAACCACTGAGCCATTTCTCCAGTCCCTTTTGGTGATTTTTAGTTTGAAAGACCTATCTAAAAATCAAAGAGTTGTATTGAGGTTTTCTACTAGTATTATATAAAGTCGTTTTTGGCTTGCATGCCTTTTAGTGCTTTTTAAATGAAATGATGCCAACCAATATTTGGTGCATAAATATTGACAACTGTTATATCTTCTGCTTTTAAGATTTATTTTATTTTTAGTCTTTCTTTTGTGGTGTGTGTGTGTGTGTGTGTGTGTGTGTGTGTCCGGTGACCAGAAGAAGATTTTGGATTCCTTGGAGCTGGAGTTATAGGTGGTTGTCATTATTTCATTCTGGATGTATACTATGTAGGGATTACTATAATTTCAAAAATTCAGTTCAAATCTCAATT